TGATGATGATGATGATGATGGCGATGATTGCAAAACTCAGATCTGTTCTACCCATTACGCTGAATTAGCCCCCTTCCCCCAAAATCTGGACAAGTCAGATCTTTTGATAGACTTTCATACATTATTGCGGTCCTTCTGTACTGATCCAATAGAATGTAAGAATGTTGAAAGATCTAAATGAGATGCAGTCATTTGGTTTTGCAGTGTCCTCAATATTAGGAATTTGCAAGATCAGTTTTAGGCATGGCTATCATTATCCCAGGGATGCCTGTGTTGTGCTGGCTACCCATCTTTTTTATTTAGTTGCAATTTTTCAGTATCCTACAAATTGTGCAGACCAATAAAGCCAAGCATCTACCTGTCTGTGTTAATATTTGATGTTCAGATGAAAATAACTTACGTACTCTATTCTCCTCTGAATTTCTAGAACAAAGAACTGAAGGATCAAGTGAAACTCTACAAATCAAAGCCCAAAGTCTCCAAAGCTGTTTCTACAAAGTAAGTCCCTTCTTTCCTTTTATGGTAGTTTAGCAACGACATCTTTAGAAATGCTAAGTTAAATCCTTTGGTTTGAATGATTAAACTGCAGTGTACATGGACTTCTTTCCTTCCTCCCAACCCTACCAAAAATGTCTGGAAATTTCTACATTTTTAAAGGGATGCACTATAATGAAAACCACCGAAAACTTTCCCCCTGGAAATGTTTCAATTTGGTGTCCACTAAAACAGTGGGAAACTGCTTAGAGTAGTCTCCTTCCATGTGGTCCACTTCAGGTGTATTGGGACTGCAACTCCCAAAATTCCCATCTGATTGGGAATTTTGGAGGTTGTAACCCCATCTGAAGGGGTTTAGATTAGGAAAGGCTGGCTGAGAGTCTAACTAGACATTTGGAATGCAGTAACCATTTTTGTCTATGATCCTAAACTTGGTTACTGAATTAACTCATCTTCTGGTTTACACAATATATTGAATGACAAGCTAATCAACCTATATGGGTTCCCACAACACATGAAAGCATGTAAATCCTAACTGAGGTTAAAACTATCCAAGTTTAGCATAGCGTAGGAATGAAGCCACCCTGACCTGACCTGGTTAAGTTTGTTGGGTGACTGCAGCCAATGTACAAGCTGAACTTTCTGTGCTGTGTGTTGACTCACTATGGAAAGTCACATGAGTTGGGTTAGATAATGGAAGTTGTTGTCAGGATATATAGTTCAGTATGTGTTCCTACCATCTGGCAAGATTTTTGCTCTGTGAATCAACCAAAAGACTAAACTTCTGGACTGTGCAAAGACTCACCAGAAGGTGGGGCCAAAGTATGCACTAAGCACATCATAGTTAGCGATATGAGTTTGCCCTGGGGAAACTTTTCCAGCACTTGGTCACTACAATCATTAAAGGAATTCGCTCACAGAACCCAATTGCAGGGAATTCTGCTATTTCAAATGCGGGTATTCTGCAATCTTCAGCTAATTCAAGCATTCAGTCAAACCATAGTCTCTGCTAAGCATATTGGAAAATGAACCTCATGGTTTGAGTTTTCTAAAATGTTGTGTGTCTATTTTAATTTCCAGCTTCAAAAAAGACTGGAAACAATTTCTAAAAGTTGAATTCCCTTTTCAACCTGCCACCTTCCAACTGAATATTATTAAAGCTTGTTTTTCCATAAAGTACACCAAATTTGCTTTGTATATAGTAACAGCTGCCTTTCATTGAAGAGCATGTACAATTCTTTCTGTAAAATTAATAAAGTTGTGGGAGTGTGCTTTGGTGTTTAAAATAATTTTCTGTTTGAAAAACAAATCCAATACAGAATTTAATCTCACATGGAACCATTTTTGGACTATAATTATTCTCAAACGCCATCATGGGTTTGCACAAAATTTGGGTTTTTCATAAAGTTTTAACATTTAACTCTTGGATGACTTGTTAAACAAGGGCCTTTTTTTTTTCAATTGACCAGATAAGACCATAGTTTTTCACTTTGATTGATTTTGTGCTGATTACTGCCATTAATATTAACTTATTAACTGCTTATTAACTTAAATTTAACAATGATCTGTAGCTTTAAAATGATATGTTATCCAGATACCTAGAACTAAATTGATATTACTCTGAAGAGTTGAGCTCAGTTTATTTGATTTTTGATGCTTGTAAATCATGTATCTATTTACTTAGTACTTTTTGTACTTTTTTCTTTCTTGCTTCTTTTCTGATTCTGTTTCTCTTTTTTCCTTCTAAACTGTTCAGTAAAAATATTTATTTTTCAAAAAGGTGAGTTGGAGTCACATGTTGTGCTAAACCATAATCTTTGTTTGGTTGTGTTTTTGGGGGGTTGATATGTTGTGTGAACCCAGTCAATTGTTATTTATTTGTTTATTCAGTGAACCATGGTTAAATATACCATAGTTTAGTGTAATGTGTGAATTTAGTTATTGAGTGAAAATGATAGTTAACAAGTTGAATCTATATAAGATGACTTAATCTTCAGACCTGTTTTATTGCTGAACTGAAAAAAAATCACTAACAAAAGTAAAAATATGGAGTAGCAGAACATGTAATAACTTCTAAGAGATTTTTGCCATGTAGGCTGGTTCACCTTCCACTTTTTAAAAGATAATCTTCAAATTATTACAGACTTTATTTAGATCAAGAGGCAGATAATGTTATTGTGCTTCCTGGTAAATCTTTATGAAGCATGTAATCTAAATACTGTTGACAATGTGTCAACTGAATCAGACGACTGCTGATCTAACACGATTCTTAGGATGTTTGAAATAACTCTTTCCTCCAGATTCTTTGAATAATGTCATACAGGATTAATTTCCACAAGCTAAATTAAATTTTTCAGAATGGTACCTTGCTCAATTATCCGTTTCTCCATCTTGTTCCAGGATTGATGGAAACTTGCCATACACCATGATATCCAGACTACGCAAGTGACGTATTCCTAGTGTCTGAACCTTCCTCAGATCCATCACAAGGATTGTTATTTCTTTCCAGAATAAATTTTCTATGCATTTCCATTGGATTTACTTGCACAGGGAACTCTGGCATCACCTAACAATTTTAATCATTTAAATTAATGTATGGAATCCCAAGATGGTCTTCTGATGGAAGAAGTAAATTCAGATGCGATGAAGGACATCCAAGAGACTGGGACATATGGAGGGACAGATTCCATTTTTATTCATTTACAGGCACATTATAGAAGCATTGTAGTTATTCCTACCAGTGTTGGAAATGCATTGGCTTCAGAACTCATTAATCCATAAGGACAAATTTCCACCAGCAAGTTTTATTCGTGTATCTGAATCTACACTGAAGAATATTGGATTATGGAGGATTATGGAGGACCAGTGTAGCTGGATTTGAATTCAGATACACTCAGTTATATGATATGGAACTAAATATGGGATACTAACTGATCCACAACTGACTAAAACTAATTTCATGAGAATTCTCTCTGATTTTGGATCCCAGGAAAGAGGGAAGGAAGATGAATGTGCCTTTGTGTGGAGACAGCAGCAATCGAATAAGAAAATGCTCTCAACACACCAAATTGCAGTTCTTAGTATTATATTCTATGGAGAATCATTAAGTAAAGTGACCTTAGAAAACTTTGAACAGAGTTTACTGCTTACTGCATTCCTACCACTTCAGTGTTTTAGGATGTGGCAAACAAATTACAGTGTTGTTGTGAAAAGTGAGAGTTTTACAAATGGTGTTTCTGAAGAAAATAAAATACCTCTGGGAAGCGCAGCTCAGCACAGAGAACACGGTCCTAAAGCCATCGCTATGTCATGATTAAAAATCAGTAAAATTAACTGTTCACTGCAGAACTCTTCTGTGCAGGTTCATCAGGCAGTTTGCCTGAGGCAAGAACGTAGGAATATATATATTTTAATTATACCGCTATAAAAACAGATTGTACATTTCGCAAAGCCCTGTTTTAGGACAGAGCAAGAACATGTTTTCCCATAAGTGCATATGAAGAATAAATGTATTTATTTATCTATAATTGTTATTATTGCACCCTTCAATTGTATTTCAAGAGCAGCTTGCCAAGACAGTAAAAATTTAATGACAAAATGGATTATCTAAAAGCCATGAATTCAAGAAAGCTGGGTAATATAGATGAGAAAGGTGTCTAAAAATCTCAAGGAGTCTTTGCTTGTGGCCGATATGATAATAAAAGGTAAGGTGGATTGTTCCTCGGTCTCCAGCAGGATTTCTGCTTAAATCTGGCTGGATCATCTTTGCATTGTAGCAAAATAAATACCCATTCATTTCTAAATCCCAACTGTAAATCTATTGTTTCTTCATTCACCCTTTCAGAACATGGTCCTCTGAGCATACCTGACAGAACATAACTTCCTCCTTACTAACACAAAGGGAAAAGGGCAGTTCCAGTACCGGCAAACTGGTGCTAGTGCTTTTCTTGTGCCATGAGGGAAGGGAAAGAAGAGAAAGGTGATGAGGCAAGAATGTTGGCCGTTGGGTCAGTTAGTGGAAGAGAGAAAGAAACAGGTTGAGCCTCTGCTTTGGGGAGAGATGCAGACCAAAATTGAGAGGAACATGCTGAATTTAAGAGTTTGTGTTCCTGGAGAGTGGGGATCTAACCTGAGTTCTTTGGAACAGAAAGAATTTGGGGAAACGATAAGGGGAGAGGTGAAAGCCTAGCACATAATTACTTACTTTCAGAGGGGTAGTCAAGAAGGCAAAGTCTCCTAAGATTAGCAGTTTCCCAAAGAAAGCAGATGTAGTAGATCAGGATTTACATAGAAGAAACTCCAACCATTCTAGCTTCATGTCCCTTGCAGTCAATAGGATATGCAGTACTGAGAGTCAGTGTAATTGAAGTCATACTTCCAACACTCCTCCTGTCTGGCTGATGCACCCACAACTGCCATAATCTTTCTATGTCAATCATTGAGCATCTGCCCTCGTTTCTTCAGATGAGCAGTGTCTGAGTGACTCTTTTTTGAGTATCTTGCACAGAGACATACTCTATGTGCGGTCCTGAATGTAATATCCTTTGGGGAAAATTCTAAAAGAATTTAGAATCTAAAAGATTCTAAAAGAATCCAAGCCTGGAAAAAATGCAGACTAATGCCTGATGACCTCCATTTCATGTACAATATCATGAACAGGTTAGGCCAGACCACAGGCCTCCCAATCATTTTTTTTTGGATATTTTTACAGCATGTTGTGAGTGCTCTTCTATAGGTTGTGTGCATATAATATGAATCACAAACAACAGCAAAGTTACTGCAGTTGCTCCCTGTCCTTTCTCTTCACTCTTATTAGTTGCATTCACAGGTTTAACCCCCATCACTAGATTTGCACGATATATTTAACCATACAATAAGCTAACCAAATAGGTTGAGTTCATACAACATACTAAACTACCAAAAGAAACCCTAACCAAAGTTAGAATTAACCAAACTTATGTTGCATGAATGCAGGTCTTTGGGGTGTTAAATGATCAAGTGAAGAGTGTGGTGTAAACACAGGCACTTATCGAGCCCAACTTTCCTTTGTCCTGTTTGCAATTAACCCCACCAGAGTTACTTTTAGGCCCCAACAGTCCCATTCGTTTGGGAATAACATAGTTCCTCCCAATAACTGTGTCACCCAAAGAACTGATCAGGAAGTTAACTGACTCCTTGTGAATATGGATCTGCTCTGGGCCCTCTGTCTCTGCAGCTATTTCAGTTGTACAGACACTGCCACATGGTTGCATAGAAGAGGTTGAAAAGGGGGCAGAAATGAATGGGTGTGGTTGCTTCCTCCCACAACCTCCATTCTGTTCATGATGGCACTCACCTCTATTGCATCACACAGGCTTGTTTGTTCTGGAGAGAGGAAAAAAAGGGGAATTGCAAAAGAGATAAAATATTCCCAATGGGCTTGGTATCAGCTGAGAAGATCAAAATAAATGGTCATGGGGTGAATGGCTGAATCAGCCAGGTTTTTTTTTTTGGTACCTTCAAGTCAGTCAAGTCAGGCTTGACTCCTGGCAACTGCCTGTAGTTTTCTTGGCAAGATTTCAGAAGTGGTTTGCCATTGCCTCCTTTCTAAGGCTGAGAGAGGGACTGGCTCAAGGTCACCCAGCTGGCTTTGTGCCCAAGGCAGGACTAGAACTCAGTCTCCTGCTTTCTAGCCTGATGCCTTAACCTTAACCACTACACCAAACTGGCTCTTTTATGGTCAAGTAATACAGTAATACATAAGAAAACTCTTTTCTGTTTGAGGTAGCAGATGCTTCCAATTTCCACTCTTCAAAAATTCCAGAAATTGGTATACATTTCATAATTCATGCTTGCAGTTTAGTCCTGTGTGTTGTAATGACCTTACAAGACAGTAAAGAAGGTCAGATACCTACAGACTGTTTTTCAGATCAATTGTCAATGGTTGGCCAAGTGTGCAAGCAGACTTTCAACAGATGCAACTTCCCAAACTATTTGATAGAAATGGTCCTGAGGAGTGCATGGGTGAGGTGTTTTATGAGTGAGGGAGCTTTCTCAAAACCTACCTCCTCTAGTAAAGGATATGACAGAAATTGAGTCCCATCCATCCACAATCGGTACCTATGGAGCAAGTGATTTCTGCCTGATGTGTATTGATGTCGTTCATTCTATTCCAATTATGAACAGAAAGTGTCCAGAAAATATTTTAAACGTATTTGTAAAATTTCTGGCTATATTTCTGGCTGAGAAAAACCTGCGTTATATTAAGACACTGTTTCTCCTGCAAATGGATAGTGCTTTCATAATGTAGAAGATGTGATATTTCAATGTTATCCCACTGGCACCTCCATATACTTCCAATCTGAAATCTAACGTATTTTCCAACTTGTGCACCTTTCAAATATCCCCAAGTGCTTAAAAAAAACAAAAATACTAGAAAGAGGATGCAAATGTTCCAAATTTTAAATAAATGTTGATCATTTGAAACTCGGGCATTTTTACCATTATTAAAGACCGAAGGACAACTCTCCTATATCTTTGTACATGATTTATTCAGTACTGCCAGTGTGACAGTTGTTGAGCTATTCCTAGGGATTACTCCTACAGCAAAATTGTAACATTAGATAATGCCAGTGGCTTGCCACTTACTGAAGCTGCATTTGGAAAATAAGGAAGTCAACAGTAAAAAACAGACTGGAGTTAGGGAAGCTATTGATTTACTAGGTTTATGTCCTGCTTTTCCTGCAGATGTTCAAGATGGCATGCCTGCTGCTCCTGCCTTCCATGTTTCCCTTGAACTCTAAGTTGAGAAAATTCATACATGTAGGTATGTACTTATGTGTAAGATCATATCCTGTCTTTCATCCAGTTGCTCATGGAGACACACACCACACACTTTTGTTTTGCAAGGTCCTACTTCAAAACCAGCCTTGGACCATTATTAAAGTCTACCCTCAAATGGAGGGTAGGATTTTTAATTCCTGAGGTCCTTGGGGTTCTCTGAGCTTGGTGATTTCCTTGCAAACATTTCGTAATCCAAGTAGGTAACATCTAGGTAATCATCTAGCACTGAAGATGTTACCTAGCCGGGTAATGAAACATTTGCAAGAAAACCACCAAGCTCAGAGAATCCCAAGGACTCCTCAGTTCAACCCTGAGCTACATATATTCTCTTCTATTAATTCCATATTGTTTCTTCACAGATGGGTATGAAGGAAGTCCCTGGCAAAGGAAAGAAGGCCTTATTCTCACTCTAGAAGAAGCCACCTGCTGCCATTCTCCTACTTACCTGGCAGCTGTTCTATCAGGCTTCCTGAACTTTTCCCCAGATACACTTGTTAAGATCTGTAGCCATCCTTTCCTTGTTCCCTTGGTTATTCATTCAGTACAGTTGTTAAATAATTGGAAAATAGATTAATCTAGACCAGTGTTACTCAACCTTGGCAAATTTAACCTGAATTGGCTTAACTCCCAGAATTGAAGAAACCACCCATGCTGGCTGGGGAATTCTGGGAGTTGAAGCCCATGCAGTTTAAAGTTGTCAAGGTTGAGAAACACTGATCTAGATATTGCTCAGTTCAATCATGAAACCAAAATAACATCATAAAATAATACAAGCCAATGCAACTAAAACTAAAGTGATATACAGTGCTGATACAAACCCATAAAATGACCATGTCTTTCTGGCCACCTGGTTTGGGACAGGTACTAGATTATATTGTTGATATGTCCAAGCAGTTCCAGCAGTCTTATTTGGTGAAAGAACAGGATAAAAATGTATAAATAATTTAAGGGTGAAATAAAACCCAGTTCCTGCAGGGGATGGTTATAATCTCCCCCAAATGACCCCCAGCCTTTGGTTCACAGTGGCTGGTAATTCAAGGAATTGCATTCTTAATACCTGGAGGACATGAGGTTGGTATTTAAAAAAAAAAAAATACTGGGACTATGGTGACTTCATAGCCTTCATCCTTTTTCTGGCTAGCTGAGTTCCTACATTGAAACCATGGTTTCTTAAGCCATTTTTGAAAATGTCACAATTAGCAGAATTCCTACATGGTTAACAAACTACAGTGAATGAGTGCATATCGCACGCAAAGCCAGAATCAAGTAAGACACATTATGACTTAGTGTGATATCTGCAGTGTATCCCTTTCACCCTTCTCAGACCCAACACACATTAGATCATGTTTGCTCTTCAAAACAACAATCAACTACTGCTTTAAAAATGTATTGTTTTTAATTTCAAAAGAACAGTGCAGAAATGAAACGACAGAATTACATTCCTTAGCCATATTGTATAAACCCAGACACCAATGGATAAAATCTGACTGTATGTATGTATATGTGTGCATTCACACACACGCTCACACATATAAATACATATATATGTATATATCATTGAAAAGCCACAGCATATGACTGACGCTGCTATGCTGGCAGTGAGATATAATTCAAACACCTAGGTCAGAATGCAAATCTTTAACTTGTACAGAACCGTCTCAAAGACCAACAGAAAACATGCTCTGAGTTATCTAATTTAAGAGCACACTAAAAGCAAAACAAAGCCAAAAAAAAGAGGAAGAGGAAACAGCAGCAGCAGCAACTGATCCATTAGGAGGCTCTTAGTGTTGAATCAAAGTCTGAAAAGAATAATTTCAATAAATATATTCGGGGAAATACATAAGGTACCTTGAATTATACAGCTATATACACTGAACATTCCACTGTGGGGTGGAGAAATGGCAGTTCGAGAAGAGTAGAGCTTCTTGAGTTGATTTAAACAGTTGGGGTGAAATCAAGTTCAGAAAAGCTCCAGGCAGGTCCTTTTTAAGTAGAAGTTGAAGATGGGTCTACGTTTCTTAAGAACTACCCCCTACAGACCTTGTGCTAAATGGCATGAGATGAGGAGAGCTGTTGTAAATACAGCACAACTAAAAACTTAAGGACAGACAACACACACAGACTGCAGGACTTCACCCCTTCTGAGAGTTTGATTGCAATGGTGCTTCTGTCATAACTTGCTTTTCTCCCCTTTCTTAATCCCCTTCTGTAACAGCCATAAACACGTGATTCGGATTATGCTTTACTTTGACTTTTAGAAGAGCTGCCATCATAAGCACTTATTTTAGAGAATAAGGATCTTTGAGGAAATTAAAGGGAGTTCCTTACAAGTCTTGAGGATGTTGCTGGAGGAGAGCCATATTAATCTACGGTAGCCAGACTCCTCCTGATGGTTACTAACCTTGAGCTTCAAGAGGAGCTCTAAAGCTGACCATGAGGGACCTTGCCCAATTCTGCCTCAGTTGGAATGGAGAGGGAGCTAAAAAACCAACAGCGCTGAATTGTTTCAGTGGTCACTTCATTTAATACCAGACAACAGAATACTTACTGTATTGGGGAAGCTAGATTTTCATAACAAAACAGCAGCTAAATTGTTAGTTTGAATACTTTGTAGATCTTTGTAGAACACGTTGTTGAAAGGCTGCTGAGCAAGTACAGAAAACACACTTTCAGTTATGGGACAACCTTCTCTGAAATATATATTGATTTATCCCATATACAGTCATTATTAGGTACATCATATGCATTTCATTAGCCAACGACTTTCGCTCTTCAGAGGCTTTAACAAAGCAATCAAAGCTCCTTTCATCAAAGTCAAGTTTGAGCTGCTGCAGTGTAATGCAAACGCAAACCAGATTGTTGTCAATAAAAGCAGGAAAAAAATGTCTACACAGAACTAACAACTCTCAAGTTTTTTTCCCTCAACTATTATATATGGTTTATGAAACCATGGTTGGCTTGGGTGTGCTTTCACTATCTTAGACAAGCACCTCAGAAGCACACTTGGCAAGTGAGGCTGGTCATTACTTCTGAGTACTTTTGAGTAATAGAGTGGATATGAGCAGTGAACAGCCATGGGTCTATTAATCATAGATATACCTCCAATGTTTTGATTCAAATATTCATGAAACCATGTCAGGAGAAGAGAGAATCTCTATTACCATATCTTAACAGATCAAAAGGAAGACTGGAAATATTATCTTAACTTATTGTCATTACAATTATTCATCAATGAATTGCAGATGAACTTTAATCAAATATTGAATTATATGTAGAATTATTGTGATGAGAAACCAATTATGAACTATAATGGCAACATGTCCTACATCAATATATTTGATGTCAACCGTACATATCCTGGTCTCCTTGGCGAGATAGGATCACAAGAGATAATGAAAGATTTTTTTGATGTGATATGGAATTTATATTCTATTTATATTGAAAAAGCAAGATGGACTTCAGTATTGCCATCATGGCAACCTTCCAGTTGCATCAAACAGATTTCATAAGGTATTAGTAAGGTAATATAGTGCCAATCTGGGAATTTGAATCACGTGTTCATGTGGGTTAACATTGTGATCATGAATGTTCCCCATAAACATCTAAATTTTATGCATGCAGGAGCTTAGGTGTGCATAATGACAGCTACAACACCAACAGCTATTTTGCCGTGTTTAATGTCAGGAAATTTTCTGTGTACACAATATAAAAGTTTAACATGCATGCATAACACATTCGCTCATGTTGGTATTATGCTGAGATAGAGGCAAGGGCAGATCTTGCAGGAATGCTGGTGGGTATCCCAGCATGTGATTGCAACAAATGACGCCCAAGAATAATTGTGCCTTTAGGATGACTTCAAGTTCTTAAAGTTGCTACTCCAGATAGTAAGCAACCAAATGTGTATGGTAGTCCTAGACATTTGCATACTACTGGAATATGAGTATACTAGTCCCTCCAGATTGGTTCTACGGTGCCAGAAGATCCAAAACTCTCAAGCTAGATGCTAGAAGATTTCTGAATGGCAACTTTCAATAAGTCAGCTGGGATTCCTCATTAAGGTCAGCCATATGCCCAAATTTTGCAGCAGATAATCCCATGGTTTACCGCTATGCAACAGAGAGCACTGAGCAGGTAGCAACAGCTGGGAATATTGAGGATACGTTGTTCCAATATCCTCTTCCACTAGAAAGCTAAAAGATGTTTGATATAAAAGAGCAGAATTGCAGAAAAAGGAGATGAAATATTCCTCACAGTGCAGGGCCATATAGAAGAGAAGATACTCTTTAATGCATAAAGAATCTGTTATTCTTTTACACTTAGTTAAGTGTATCCCCCAGCCCTTGATTTCAAGCAAAGCATTCTGAATCCAAGCGAATATGTTCCAGGTTTCATAGACAAAAACATTAGTATTTCCCAATATAAGTGCTGAGCAATCAAGCATTAGCAAAAGTGAAGACACTTCTGGGATCTAGTAATTGCCTTTTTCTGAAAACCAGTTCTACAGACTTACAAAAAGCAGTAAATATTTAAAACTGTACTGAAGGTATCACAGTACTGGAATAAAAATGAAAAATAAGATATCCCTGTGAATTTATCCCTCTACATTATTTCTCTTTCTGAGAAATGTGCTCACACTTTGCAACCAGAAATATATTTTTAATAACTGAGAGACTGATGAAGAGCATCGTGATAAATATTATAAACAACTGTTTTGCTTTGGATTGATAGTGATGAAGAACCTGGTAAAATCAATTCTCTAATTCAGAAAATGGTGGCAGGGGATTGCAGACGATTTTGGAATGGCTGGGTTGCGAAAGACAACAGGCCTAACTACAGCACTTCTGGGACAAGACATGTTGCTCTGATGACTTCACCAGCAGACCTTTTAGTCCAAAATGGCAACTCAGAGAAATGGTGCATAGTAGAAAAACAATGTCTGATTTTTTTTTTTAAAGACACACATTTGGTTCATCATCATCACCATCGTCCTATTGTGTTTGGCTCTAAAGTATATATATCCTTCACTAACAGTATTTCTACTGTAACAAAATCATTACTGGAACTTCCTCTTCTCCATTCCTAAGTGATCGAAAAAACAGACATACATTATATATGTAATCAGGACGTTGCTTTGAACATCTAATTTTCCAAATCAACATTCAACATAGTTTCATGTTTAGGAAGTGCCCTGCATGTAAAATAAAAGCAAAAATAATCTTGTGTGTATGTGTGTCCTGGAGGACATTAATTAGAAATGTTAACTGTATCCACATAGAACTTAATAAATACATAGTCTCTTAATGAAAGGGGATTCCATTGAAATATCATTCTCAGAGTCACCAGTGAAAGAGCACCCACAGTTCTCTTGGCCAAGTATTTCAAGGCAGATAGTACTTTTCAGCTTTGAGCAAATACTTTCTCATGGTTTACATCTGGTCCTTTCCAACACTGTACTACACTGTATGGACATCTTCTCTCTCTAGTCCACATACCTCCAATCCCACCTGATTAAATTGCAGTTTTAATCAGATCTCACCTTATGAGAATAGTCAGCTGAATGTAACAACAGTGACTTTTTGGTTTTCAAAAACAGAGATGTTTATAACGAGCTGCACAATATATTCTTTGGGTTTTTTTTCATCACCTGTTTAGCAAATGCACAACGTCCATCACAACAGAAGGCAAAGAGATGAGAAGTGTTGGCACAGGCCTACAAAGACAACCCCTTGTTTTATTGTAAAGGTAGCTCCTAACATTTCAATTATCCTCTCCCCAAAGCAAATATTTTCTGTATTTACTCGCCTACTGTATTGAGAAGACGAGAGCCTCTGGATTTTCTATGAAGATGGGTAACATCTGTTCAAATGCAGAAGCATGATTTATCAGCATTGAAAAAAAATCAGGCTTCCTTAAGACAAGAACAGCAGTCTCAGGTGGCCCACTGGAGTTCCAGGCTGAATTTAGCAATTGGTCATTCTGTTATTTTCTGATTAGATGATTTCTCATTCCTTTTCTTCAACCTGAATGGCCAAGTCAACAAGCACATTTCTTCTCGTCAGATTTTGATGACACCAGTTTTCCTGAACTTCCCCCATTGGCTGTGTCAGAGATCTGAGACTTGTCAACACACTGTTCCATTCGTTTCATTATTAAGTCCAAGAGTGTCTCCACGGCTTTGTCCACATTTTGGCCAGTAGCTGCACTTGTTTCAAAGTATGGAATGCTAAAACAAGAAAACATAAAAAAGTATTGTAAGATATTTCAAGATAGAACACTTATAACAATAACTTACTGCTTTTCCTTCAAAGATCACCTTACATTCAGTACTCAAAGGGTCTTGTCTCAAAGCAGAATGGCTTGGCTTCAGCAGTAAGAATACTGAGTCACTTTCTGAAAGGCCATCAAGCCTACTGGCCCCTCTCATGAAAAGAAATTCCTATTAACATTAGCACTTATCCATTAAGGAACTGCTTTAAGAATCACTGATGCCAATAATGGGGAAAAAAATCAACATTTTGCTTGGTTCTCTTCCTCTGAGACCAACTGTCTTAAACATTTCATTGTGTCCTACCCCATCTTTGACATGACTCAAATGGCCGTACAGATTTCTCCTGAGTTAGCTGAGAGGACAACAAATTTGTTTGCCTTACCTGTATTTGTCTGCAAGCTCTTTTGCTTCTCTTTCATTGACCTCCCTCTGATCTGATAGGTCAGCTTTATTTCCAATTAATACTATGTCAGGGTTCTCGCAATAAGCATTTGCTTGCAACTGACCTAAAGAAAATGTAGAAACTTGGTAAGGAGTCTGGAAATGTTATGTGGAAATAGAGGAGCAGAAATTCTATTTCATCCCAGTCTTCCCTAACCTGGTATCTTCCAGTTGTGCTGCTCAACCTGGCTGGGAAAGGCTGGTAGATGAAATATGGGCAAATTCACTACCTATTTTTACATCAAAAAATAAATTACGTATGACAGAAACAGGATGGTTAGGTATCTTTTTGCCCAGAATACACTGTACCATCCAATCAATAAATCAAATTAACATCAGTATTTCTAAAAATGCCAACAAGCATTGCTTTCCTTCTCTCTGTCACAGCTGCAACAAAAATAATAATTCACATATAGGTAATATATTTCAAGCAGTTCATCTACATTGTTTCGGTAACATTTAAAATAGCCTACAGTGGGGCAAAAAAGTATTTAGTCAGCCACCAATTGTGCAAGTTCTCCCACTTAAAAAGATGAGAGAGGCCTGTAATTTTCATCACACTTAAAAAGATGAGAGAGGCCTGTAATTTTCATCACACTTAAAAAGATGAGAGAGGCCTGTAATTTTCATCACACTTAAAAAGATGAGAGAGGCCTGTAATTTTCATCACACTTAAAAAGATGAGAGAGGCCTGTAATTTTCATCACACTTAAAAAGATGAGAGAGGCCTGTAATTTTCATCACACTTAAAAAGATGAGAGAGGCCTGTAATTTTCATCACACTTAAAAAGATGAGAGAGGCCTGTAATTTTCATCACACTTAAAAAGATGAGAGAGGCCTGTAATTTTCATCACACTTAAAAAGATGAGAGAGGCCTGTAATTTTCATCACACTTAAAAAGATGAGAGAGGCCTGTAATTTTCATCACACTTAAAAAGATGAGAGAGGCCTGTAATTTTCATCACACTTAAAAAGATGAGAGAGGCCTGTAATTTTCATCACACTTAAAAAGATGAGAGAGGCCTGTAATTTTCATCACACTTAAAAAGATGAGAGAGGCCTGTAATTTTCATCACACTTAAAAAGATGAGAGAGGCCTGTAATTTTCATCACACTTAAAAAGATGAGAGAGGCCTGTAATTTTCATCAATACCTATGATGAAAATTACAGGCCTCTCTCATCTTTTTAAGTGGGAGAACTTGCACAATTGGTGGCTGACTAGATACTTTTTTGCCCCACTGTAGGTAGATCTCAGCAATTTGCAGAAACATGATATAGTGGCGATGCTAGAGGCTTCAGTGTAGCAGTGGAAAAACAACTCTATCAGGTCAAAGTAAAAGTCCACTTGCTTCCTAAAGCTTCCATAAAAGGTATCTTGCAGCTGGTGGCCAAGGCCAGCAGTGATCCAGGAACCTCTAGAAGCCAGCTTCAGAGAGGATCCCACATCACTCCTAAGGTCCCTGTGGGTCTCCTGCTGCAGAGTGTTTAATTATCTCAAGAATGGCACAGATAATTCCACCCTCTATGGGGACTGATGCTGCACTAAAGATGATAGATGCAATGCCGCTTAACCTAAAAACGCTCAAGGCTGAGAGAGACAGCTGCTTTTTCCACTTACTCATCCAGTTTCTGACATTTAAGAAGCTCTGTTGACTGGTGAGATCAAACATTAGCAAGAAGCCCATGGCATCTCTGAAAAAAGCTGTTGTGAGACTTCTGAATCTGTTAGGAGAAAGGGAATGAAAGGGAGTGAACATACAACATGAGCTATAAGGGGAAAAAAAAGCAATAGGCATTAGGCAAACATTTCACTGCTGAGCTTTCTAAAGGTGCTGCAAGCAACAGATAAATGACAAGGCAAAGCTTTAATATTTTTTTATAGGGATAGTCAACCCATATCCAGATTCACTGTTAAGGCACAAGTCCTCCTTCAGGTTACAAGGTAGCTCCAGGGAAATTTTATGTTCTCTTGTAATCTGTTCCATTCTGATGGGGATTTGCATTATAAATTTCCCTTTGACTACCAAAGAGATGGGCAAGGAGCAGCCCCTGGAGATCTGATTCAGGCGCCCACCCAGGCACATGAAATTTCTGATAGTATTGCTCATACACCTTCAAGCAGAGCACTGAGCTATAGTGCTGAGAAAGTATTTTGCTTAGCCATAAGCTGAGAATTAATTCACATCCTGAAAACTACCCTGATAATGCCCTGATAAACGGCTAACAGCTCATGGTTGTAATGACTAAGGCTGTCATCTTCCTAAAACATTTTAATCATGGAATCAATGAGAGTATAATCAAATTAGATTAAAATCAACTGTGCTATAAAATAACAGTCAAGTCTCCTTACAGCCAAGCTTGACTTCTGATGACTCCATGGATACATCCATGTAATTTTCTTCGCAACAAAGCCATAGTAGCTTGCCGCTGATATCTTCCAGTATGGTTTCCCCCCTCCCCCAACAACTTTTCAATCTAGCCTACACTCCTCATACTTCCTGTTAGCCTTTATCCAAATATTAAACAGGACCAGGCCTGCTTAGCTTTTCTGAATCAGGTAAGGTTGACTAGGGCCTAACTGGACAGCACATAACTCATGCATGTTGTCTGTTCCAACTGAAGTTCTCCTGATGTAGAACAAAGCATTCCAGTTAAAAAAAAAATGTGGCTTGTCAGTGACAAACATAATTGTGCCCTGTGGATGTAGCTCACATCCAGTTAACAACTGCCAGATCACTGCTCAGTGTACGTGTGTGTGAAATAAATGCTACAATGCAATGTTGCGAAGGTAAAACTTTTGCTTGGTCCAACACATCCAAATGAATACAGAAACAGGGCCACAATTTCTGTAGGAAACAGTACTGGAAACTTTAGATCAGCATTCAGTCAGAAATTTCAGATATACAAATAGGAAGATGACCTTGGAAGCCCATCACAAATGTCGACTCTCTCTTTGGAATGGCTCCATGTCCATCTTCTTGTTCAAAGACTGAGAACCTGTCTTGGTCAGAGGCACTTATGCTTTGGAGTAAAACTAAGTACAAAGCAAAAATATGGAAAGTATGGGGCAATGAATGTACTGGATTTTTGCAATGGGTTTGGGGGGTTTTCGCCTTTAATTTATCATGTGTTTAGCTCTCTATTAGCCCTTATATTGTGCCTTCTAACTAAAAATGACAAGAAGCAGACTTTTGGCAATTGTACCCCTGAAATCTGACATTCCAAAATGCTTCAAATCACTTTTTATTCAAAATTCCAAATAATCCAAGTTAAGAACTAGAGCTGAAGCCTCTTTGTAAACAGTAATGTGATGGCAAAAATGATTATAAAAAGTCTCTATCTTGAAAACCTGCCTAAGTTGAAATGACAGAAATCTAATAGAAAAATGTTATTCATTTCCTCTTCCAATTACTTCTGCATTGGATTTTTTAAGTTCTTGCATATTACCTTTCTTGCCCAGCTGTGTCCCATAGCTGCAGATGGACCTTAAAGGCTTTTCCAGGAGACCCACTTGACCCCTGGCTGTTGTACACCTGAAACACACCAAATAAAGCTTCACTGTATATTTTAATAGAGGGACAATTACTTATTTAAAAATTAAAAGTGAAGTTATGATTTGCCAAACTGAAAATGCAGGGTATGAAAGGATGCTAAAGACATCATATGATCCTTTCATCACCACGGCCTTATTCCACAGATGATTTTGGCAGCCAGCCCTGCATTTATTGGAGGAGCACAGACAGTAAGGATTGCAATATTGTCACAGGAAGTACCAACCCCTAGAAGATTTCATTTGGTCTCAGAAGCTAAGCATGATAAGGCTGGAATAGTACATGGATAGGAGATCTCCATGAACACAAAGGTTGTAGGCTAGACTTGAGAAATCAAAAAACTTCCCAGAAGGCAGTGACAAGCCATTTCTGCAGTGTTGCCCAGAAAACTGCAAAAATCTGTCCATGAAGCCACCAGGAGAAGCCACCACTTGGACACTTCATGAATACAATATTAGACTGGAACTGGTGACAGTTTACTTCACTTTGCTATAAAACCTTTTGGAGGCCTTTGGGCATTCATTCTCTTTCAACTTTTCTTATAGAGTTATTGAGTGGGAGAATAATGTGGAAAACCCTTGCAGGTTGAAAGATGACTGTATAAGCACTGGATTGAAATTCAGCAGACTAGAATTCTTAATACAGTGGTACCTTGGGTCACGAACGCTTCTGTTCACGACCAATTCGGGTCACGAACAGCACTGTTCGCAAAATTTTGCTTCCGTTTGTGAACGCCGGACCGGGTGACGAACAGGATCCACGGCCATTTTCCCTGCCGTGACACGTGGCCGTGGCTTCCTGTAGGGAGGGGGACTCTCCCTCCAAACAATAACCACCTCCCCCCCCGCCTT